CACAAGCCACACAAACACTCGGGCTTTGAGACTTTTACACTTTTGGCTCAGGATGGAGGGGCTGCCGTACGCTGCAGCCCAGACACGGTAAACGAGGAAGGGAGCTAATTCAACAGTTCATTAGAAAGAGCCGTTAGCACCCGCGTTCAAGATGGAGAGAAACGGCACAATCTGTCCATCAGGCATCGGCATATGCACTTACCGCCATCAAGCAACAAGTCTCCCATCATGAAAAGCCTAATTGGGGCTTAATGTTGGGTAAATGTTTCCAGTGCACATGCAGTATGCCAGCAGGGTCCAAACTCAATTAGCTCCCCTGCAAGCTGAATATAATTTAATGGGCCTGGATTCAACTCCTAAAACCCAATTACACCTCAGACAGGCATTTCCAGTCATCCCGCTAAAGAGGTGGTCAGGGATGCACAATCCTTCCACTGAGCAATGTGAACCTAAGTCTGCATTTGCAGCATTTCTGGAAATCTTTGCTTATTTATTTCAGGAATAAATGCAGGAACAAAGTTGAAATACTGAGATGATTCATGTCCATGTCTAGAGAGTGACCTCACTTTTGACAAATGGATGCAATCTGCAGATAACGCTGGCATTTTCAAGCCCATGTAGGAAAATGGAGGTGGAGATTAAGGTCAGGGGGAGCACTGCAAGTGATAACAATTGTCTCAGTCAATCTGCAATTAAAAATCCCAGGATGCCTAACCAAGCGTGGCTGCACAGCCACACTAAGTGGCTCATAATCAGCCCATTACAGCCACTGATCTCCTATTACAGTGACAAATTGCTTCTGACGATAACAGAGGAAATGAAGGTGGGATTTATGACACTAGACCCAATGGCCAAAGACGAACAGTGTATTAAATCTATCCGTGGAGAAAAAACAAGCTCACGTTTGCACACCTGACGGCAACAGGGGGAAATAAAAGGAGATTTATGAGGCTTTTTCTAATTTGTTTCAGCTGCTGTCGGCTATGTAAGTGCCTGGTAAAATTAATGAAACTAAACGCTGCAATTTCTGGAGAATCCCTTGCGTCTCTTGTGTCTTCCTAACTTCTAAAATGTTGATGCTGAGACTAACTCTGAGTTCAAGTAAGCTTCGTGAATGCGTAGAGTTTTGGCTTTTTTGAAAAAAGGAAAACAGTAAAGAAAAAAAGCACACATGGGGAATTGTTGGGTTCCTGCTCCTGTTGACTAGTTACATTAGGTCTATCAGTCTGGTGACAGCAGGTTTATTACAAATGTCTGAAAACAATGATCAATAAATGCACAAAACTCAGCAGGCACCCGGTTCTTTGCACCTGATCCACAAAGTCAGTTATAACAGAGGAATATCACATGTCTTAAGTAGATTTCAGGGTTTTAATGTTGTTACAAAACTATAATTTTCCCCAAATTTCTGTCCGCTATATAATAGTAAAGTATTAAAAATAATCAACAAAATAGTAAGTAATTTATTAATGAAAATTCTCAGTGTAAGAACAGAACCTGGGTTGAATTAACTAATGCAAAAAAAAAAGATGACCGTTACAATGTGGATGTTTGCTTATGAGTCTGTAACAGTCACTGTTTTCAACTGTTCATTTTGTTATTTTAGATTAATCTTCACTGGGGTATTTTCTGCCAGATTAAAGCAACTTTTCCCTTGAAAGCTTCATGGATCTCCATGAAAAGTTGTTGTAAAATGAAAGAATACAATATAATCTGGAGGTATTCAACACCTCAGATAAGGATTTTACATTTTGAAACAGAAAACAATGCAGTTGATTGTTAAGTTTGACTCCACAAGCATCTAACAAAGTCTCTGTGAGCATTTATGTGTACTCCTGCTCCACATTTTGAATCATTAAAATGTTTTTGTGAAATTATGGCTGGCTTTGTGGAAAGTGGCTTTGATGGTTTACAGAAGTGTCCCTGTTTACCTAGCAGCACTGATTATACTTTCTCATACAGCCAATCTGATGTATTTCACATCTAATTACAGGCAAAAAAAAAAAATGAAGGCATGACCAATTTTTTTTCCGTTTTTGACGGCTTCCTATGTGCACTCAGTGAATGGTGAGATTAGTTGTATGCATTAGGTGGGAAAATTGATAAGAATATATGTAAAAAAACTCTAAGGTAGAGTAGAACAGTTTTTCCTCAATTAAGTTATTAGAAAAGATTAAAATAACCACTCATCATCAAAATGTTCAGGCTATGAAAGCAACTAACTGCCAAGAAAGAGGGAATGGGTTTAAAGTTTTCACACTTTGGTATAAAGGCTGATTTCCTCAAATGGTCGTCTTACCTTTAAGTGATGACTTTAATCTGCATCTGTTCTGTATTTGATCAAATCCCATCATGATCATAACCCATCATAAAGTTAAGCTTCAACGTTCACATTCTGTGTAGGCACTACTGGACCACTGGCTGTGACTTGACAAATAACTCCAGCCGTAATCACCAGCTGGTTTGTTTCACAGAAGTGTATCTCACATTATGATCTCACTAGAATCAAGCCCTTTCGTAAGAGAATAATTGTTCCCTAGCAGGTCTAATATTCTGGATTTCGCTATACTAATAATTCACAGCTTACCAGAAAAAAAAGTAAATAATTTAAATACATTTTCTGATTGACAAGGAATATCCCCTTGATGTTATTCATCACTCTACAATTTTGAACACAGCTTATATGTGCGATTTTCTCCCATGGTGGTAAAGACATTTTTGTTTCCTCTTCATGAAAGAGAGGAGAAATAAGATTTCCTTCCCAACTAAATGAGCGCAGACTCAGGATTGGAAAGGATAGGCTGAGTCTGAGGGGTGGTAATGTGGGAGGGTGCCAGTCCACAGGAGGTACTGTGTCCTGAACATTTCCATGCAGTGCCAAATGGATTGAGTGGCAGAGGCAGCCAGAACCAACACGTCTACACATCAACATGTCTCGCAGCCAGACAACCAGGAACTATCACAGCAGAGCCCGCGAGCGCTGGCACCCCAGACTGTCCGTCAGAAAAGACAGATCACACACATTTACTGCTTCTATTTACACAGAGGGGAGAAAGGTGTCAACTGTGCAAGTCGCATGCTTTCACAGGATAACTGGGGAAGAATCAGCAACGCGGAGATGTCAGTCGCTGATGTTTAATGGCACACAGCTGCCGCACGGAGAAAAATCAATGAGCCGAAAGGATGATTAGCTTGTTTTTGACTTGTCTCTATTCCGCACATGATGCTTCACCCAGGGAACAGAACGTGCTGTGATGTGCCTGTAGGCTCCTCCCCAGTTATGTAGAAATGTGTCATAACCAAACTTTATCAGGTGATGTACAGGAAACAAAAACGTGCCACCTCTCAGTCTGCTCCGTGACCAGGCAGAGATACGGATACTAAAGAGTCTGGTCCCTTGTTTCTTTTTTCATATTTTTTTTTTCATGACACAAATCCATTGAATCACAGCGATAGAAAGTTTTCACCTTTATTTAAAGTGTACATCCATTGATTACACTATTACTTCTTGCCAAAGAGCAATGCCCCGTGGCATGCAATGACTGACCACATTGTAAGGAAGGGAAAACAACCACATCAGCATTAGATACACTCATTCTGAAATGCAAGACTACAAAAAAGGCACTTATATGAAATTAATTAGGATAAAGGATATTCAGCCTAAATAAAAACCCTTACAGGAATCCACCATGCCATGGTTAAAATCACAAAAAGACAACAGGGGTTTCAACTCATCACAATACTCTGAAAATCTCCATTCACAACACTCATATGTAGCCATAGCAACAGAATATCTCATTCATGTGGTGCCTTTTTAACTTAATGAAAAGGAACAAATACCCGGAAAGGACAATATTTTCATGATTGCACGAAAAAGCCGGTTTTGACATGAGCAAATATACTGATTTACTCTCATTCGATTCCTATGGAAATTGAAGAGACCACTATACAATGCATAAGTACTGTAGCGTCAATACAACCATCCAATTAACATGAATCAATACATTTTTACAGCTATTTATCATTGTAATGCATCGCTATGTTGAACTGTGCAACATTCAGAAAAAAAAATATTACTAGTATTTCTTCACTCAGTTTAAAGACTGCTGAAAAGAATACCATGAAAAAGAACACAGGTAGTGTGGAGTTTGAGTTATTCCCTCTGGAGCCATCGCCGTGCTGATCTGCTGAGGATCAACACAGGTCTCCATGCTGCAAACAGACTGCTCTAAAGGTAAAGATTCGTGCCCGTGGCTGTCCAACCCGATCACAGTCAGACATGGAAAAGCTTAGCACCGGGAATAAATTGTCTTTAACTGCAGTCGATAAGGAAGAGCTGAGATTAGACTGGCTGTTTATTGGGGCTCCCTGTCTCAAGGTGACATGGTTATGCATATAGCTTAGCAGCACCAGGGAAACCCTGCCATTATATACAGGGTGTGCCTTTTAAGTCTTATCTAGCCCTCACACTCACCTCACTCGGGGGCTCCTGAGCAGGGCTCCCCTCGTCAGCCCCCGTACTGCAGGAGGCCTGCTAATCAGGGGTATTCCAGATCAAGCCAATCAGAGAGGGCTGATCGGGAAAGCTTTAAAAAGCATAACTGAAAAGGAAGAAAGTGTCTTGTTGTTGAGTCCAAAAGGTAAAAATTCAGCACAAATTGAATCCATCTCATAAAAAAATATATATATCACACCACTGAGGGTGAAAGTAGCCCATCCTCCTGTGCGACTGGCAAAAAATAATAACTTCCTGTGGTCTAAACCTTCATCAATCAGACTACAAATAACCTGAATAAACTGTAAAAAATAAAACAGTTAACCAGGTGAAGCAATTAAAAATACAATCACAAAAAAGGACGGAGCACTATCTGAATTACAAATAAAAAAAGAAATTAGAAGTTGCAAGAGTATGCTTTATAGACCCTTTTGTAGAATTCTTCAACCTGCCCTAAATGTAGGCATGAAAAATACCCCGGCAGCAACCACAGGGCACGGCATGCTCAGCTGAAATCTCTGTCCGGGAAGAGGAGAGGTGCGATGAGGGTCCAGAGGTAGAGGCCGAGGCCCAGCCAGCTGGAGCTCATCTTCACCCATACAGCCGGCATGCTGCTCTGCATGGCCTGTGTGGTGGTGTCCGGTCTGAGGGAGCACACAGAAGGAAGTTTAGCTGAAACCAACTCCACCTTTTACATGCACTGAAGCCAAGCAAAAATCTGAGCTCAGAGAATGTGGAAATCTGTGGTGAGGGATGGCACCATCTGGTGGCTGTATCGCACAATAAAACTAATTAAGACCATACAAGTGTCAAACACTGAGGTGTAACTGTGTTGCTTCTGATTTATAACTAATAGTTTCCTTACTATATAAAGGATTGTATTCATAGTCGCCATGCTCCATGTGTGTATTTGGTTATCATCAAAATTGTGTAATCTGCTTCTCAACAGGAAGGCATGCAGCACAACCGCAGAGTTATCAGTAGCTCATGGAGCAACCACCACATTAGTGCCTCACTCACAGGCAGCTCAAAGAGGTTCATTCACAAGAGGCAAATACTGAACTTTCACTTCCTCATCACAATTTTCCCTTTTTGTCACAAGTCTAACAGTCTGAACAGCTTGTTGTTCCATGGTGTGCTGGACATGAATACTTACTGGTACCAGTTGGTAAGGGTCATCATAATGTAAAGGGAGGCCAGGCAGAGGTGGAAGTGGAAAAAGGAGTAGCTGTAGGACACTGCCTCCTCCTCGTTGTCGACGGCCCTGCGGACGCCGTCCTCTCCGACGACGGCCTCTCCTCCTGACCCCGTGCCCTCCTCTGTCTGCATCAGTTTGTTTACCTGGGCGTTGCTGGATGAACGGATACTACAGGACGGACAAAAAGAGGCCGTTTCCAATAGCTTTTTAAAAGGTAAATAAACAAATCCATGTTGGTGGTTTCAGTTCCGCTACACTGACCTGGCGTACAGAGTGCAGAACAGGAAAATGATCAAACCCACGATGCCCTGGGCATCCCACCACTGCACCTGTCCTGGAGTGCTGCCATCTTGTGCGTCGGAGGCACTGACATTTGACACTAGACTCAGCAGGCTGGGGTTACACCTGCGATCTGAAACATGTGGCATACATTAGAAATGTGATCCACACAGTAAACAGTAGGAAACAATTACACACAGGAAGAACATGAATCAATGAGTATTTTAATTCCATCTTCTCTTATCCGTCAAATCATTTCATGATACTGTAAGATCAAGATGTTAAAAAGCACAGCGTAACATTAATTCAATACAAGATATGGTTAAATTCATATTTCAGTCATGAAATGCTCTTGGAACTAAAATAAATCACTTAATTTCAGGGAACTCTGAAAACAAATTCTAATAATTAATTTTTTTTTAAAACGCCTGTCATATTTGGAAAAAAAAAAAAAGTCTGACAAAATTTCCAAGCCTCTATGAAAAGAATGGATATAAAGTTACAAGTATTTGGTTTATCGGTACATCATTGGTCCAACTTAGGTTCATAGATCGATATATCACATCTGAGGGGTAGGAGCACACTGCTCCACGCCTGACACAAGGATGAACACATATGCTGCTCTAGATCTGAATGGGATATAGAAAACTAACTCTACATTCATTACAAAGCAATCTATGGCTGATTTCCACTTAAGAGAAGCAGACAGACAGACACAAAGCAGGAGCGGCTAAAACAGCAAAATCAGCTCCAGGTTGATTTAGCATATCAGGTTAAACTCACCTTTATTATTAAAGAACTGCAGCAGATTAAAAGCAAGTACATATGTCACAAAAAATGTGAGAACGAAAACAACCGAGTAGACCACTAAATGGTTTAGAACAGGAATGGAATGAGAGATCAGGATAGACTCACTTGGATTGTTGGTCATTGCAGACCATGTGACATACATGGTGTAGAGGGAGATGATGGAGGCCTGGAGCAGGCCAGAGTGTGGTTGAGCTTTCTGTCACAAATGGGACGAAAACAGAACATTTAGTTTCACAACTTGACCTAAATTGTGGAAACTGTTTTAAAAATCTGTTTTAAAGATAGCTTTAATATTTGCATTAGAAGCTTGGATGAGAGTGACACAGAGGCTTCTCTACAACAGGGTTCGACACCTTTTCCCCTAGTTCTTCAACATAGCCACCACTGTGACCCAATCCGACCCTGTACCTGTATCTGAGGTAATATGGACACGATAGAGATGATGATGCAGAAGATGAGGTTGAGGCTGATGAAGACTTTGTGCTCAGTGCAGTCATCCGGCTGCGTGTAGTAAACATAGAAAAGCACCACAGCAGTAAAAGCCAGCGCGTAGTAGAGGAAAGTGAAGGACAGCAGTCCTGAAATGAACAAGTACACACAGGTGTAACGATAAACTTCAGAATAAAAAAAACAGATAAGCCAGTGTTGCAAAAATCAAGGGGGTGATTTTTTCTACTCTGCATTTGTTTTTTTATTATTCATCCCTATTCCACTGTTAAATTAAAATAGACCGCTATCTCCTACCCCTCTCCTTAACTCTCTTTACAAATATGCATTGACAGAAGGTCTTAAGTCAGTTAAATGTCTTGATAAAAACATGAGGAAGGTGATGGCTTAAAATATTATCTGTACTACCAAGACACTGTTTTTATCCTGTTAGATTATCTGCAAACAATTGAAGTATCCTGATTATACAAAATATACAACTTACAAAAATTAGAAGAAAAACAATAGAAAAAAAATCAAGAGTAAGCCATGTGATCAGATTTTAAGATTGACCAGACACTTTCACCCGTTATCTATATGTATTTTACCTGCAAACCAGCATTTGTTGTTAGTCTCCTCAGCATTTTCAACCCAGATTTTGTTCCAGGAGTGGGCGAAGTCAATGAGCAGAATAAGCTGAATTAGAATGAAGATGAAGGATCCCAAAACTCCGAAGTAAAACCACACTGGTAACCAGGAGAGGAACAAACTCAGAGGTATTCTGATTACAGCAATAAATACAAATGTATGTGTACATATGTGCCTCCATACTGTTAAAGGAACAAAAAACGAATTCAAAGTAACAAAAGAGCTTGGCAGCATGATGTCACAGCACAGTCGACTAGCTGATTGTGTGTTTGGTAACCTAAGAACCTAAGAACACTCAACAAGTGATTTACTAAACAAGTGGTGGATAGATGCTGGCTGTGTGAACACTGTGAAAAGATCTTGTCCCTTGTTATGGTGTGTGGTTTTTTATATTACGGTGGCGCTGACCTACAAAGCACTGCGCTGTGGTGCTTGTGGCCAAACTCTACTGCAGCGTTTTCTAACTCAGCATGTGTTCATACCAGAATGAAATGTTCCGTCAGGGATGAAGAAAGCTCCCACTGTGATTCCAACCAGAATCAGGAATTTAAAAAACCAGAACCTGTTTGAATAAACATCAACAAACACACCATCAGCACAGACCACAGAAGCAGAATTTATAAAGCAGCCAAAATACCTGAACCTCTGTGAGCACTAACAGCCCACGGGAGCTCTTACCCATTTTGAATTGCCGCCCGAGGGTCTTTGCTGTTTCGGACGCGAATCATTATGGCACAGAACAGAAAGAAGAAGCAGGTCATGGCAAAGCACATACGGTAAACAGACTTGTAGCCCACAATGACATCACAGTTGACCTGGTTTTCAATACCAGGTATAGATGTTCCACCCTGGCAGAATCCCGGGATCTATCAACGAGAAGAAAATCAATCTAAACAACCCTGATCAATGGCTAATTGTCTGTTGATATGTAAACCAAAATCCCCATGGCTTCAAATGAAATAGAAGCTAAATAAAACTACTTTTGTAGGGCATACAGAAGAAAAAAAAGTTCAAGAAACCACCACAAAGCTATTGTTTTTCTATCTTTACTGTGAAAGCGTGTAAAACTCTGATCTCACTTTACGGAGATGCGTTTCCATTCCAGGAAGGATCATGATGACAGACACCAGAGTTCCCAGCAGCAGAAAGAAGGAGAAAACCAGCCGTGTGACTGTGGAATTATTGGAGGAGGGACAGCAGCCGCACAAAAGGCAGGGAGCTGAGCCGCACAGACAGGAGGCCTGTGACAGATGACACGAAGAGAGTTAGGAGTTTGGGTGAGATGAGGTTTCAAAAAGACATAAACCGACAATGAATGGCCGCGGAAAACTGCTCACTGAGGCATAATTCAAATCATAAATAGGTCGCATGTCACTGTTAAAATTGAGCTGGTTAATTATTAAACATGACAATCATTCTTCAGTATAAGATCCAGGAGCACGCCCAGTTATCTGGGTCAATTGCTAAATTCTGGGTCAAATCTAGGATGGCATATATAATGTCAAAATAATATTAATAATAACTGGATCCTGGGGTTGGGACGGCTAAATAAGGACACAGGCTCCTGCTCTGCCCTGCTCTGTGACTTTACTGCCCTGTTTTTCTGCTGCCTCCTGGGTCTGAAAGAGTTGATCTAAGGGAACTAATGACATCAATAGTCTGCAAATTTCTCCGAATGTCCAACACACCTAAATGACGGTATTGTTTCTCACCAACGTTGTGCAACTGGCCTGCAGGTCTGACACTTCCCTAGTCATCATCTATTTATATTACTGCGAAAGGCTACATCGACTTTAAACGCCCATACAGTAAATATCTAAATAAATACAACCACAGGTGGCATTTGGCTTGCTAGTCTGCGAAAAAAAAGTGGTCTGTCAAATGAAAAGGTTTCACCTTAGCGTTAACTGTCACGTAGTTCGATCCTAACTCATAGGGCTGTCACCATTTTCGACTGTTTGCTCAACCTAGCGACATAACACAGGTCAACAAAAGCGTTTATCTAATATATGGAATAACATACGATACTTACGCAGCTCGCTAAAGAACACAAGGCCAAACAAGCCCCCATTTTGACACTCAATTGGTGAGATGTGTAGGTGTTTTTCCAGACGTCTTCGTTGGGACTGAACTACGCTGCCGAAACCCACACAGAACAGGAAGTGACGTCACAACCTATCAAAATAGAACTCCTCGGGTGACTTGGTTTGAACTGATGATGAGACTGCACACACCCAGCACTCACCACAGTGGTCAAAAACTTAAAGTGTGTGATCGGTCAGAGGTTTCGTCAGTTTAAACAATATTTCAAGTAATTCCTGTCCACAATAATAACTCCTCAGAAAGACATTTTACAGTTTACAGAGTGATGAGTGATGAAAACATGGTTCACTTCTGATTGTCTAATGTTGAATAATGTTCCTCATGTTTTTAAACAGCTGCAGTATAATCTTCAAATCTCCTTCAATCGTAATGAAGTAAGAAACTATTTTTGTGGATCATTATGGAAAAAAGCATCCCTCATCCAGAGAAGGGAGAAAGTTCCTCAGGACCCTACGGATTGTTGACCCCAGGAATAAGTTTGACTCAAAGTTTGCTTTGTTTGCAAAGTTTGCTTTGAGCAAATCCAGTTGATCAAAGAAAATGCAGATGCTCAGTTCTTTTTATATAAACTGTTCTGCAAGCCTCTGTCAGCTCTTGGGCAAAACTACTCACCACTGAGTCTTCTGTAATCACCTCTTTGTTCTTGTAGTGGCAGTCTAACCTGGCTCGCAGCAGTTGGCATCTAATACATGCATCTTTGCTTTATTTTTCATGGGACACAGCTACCTGAGTCTCTGCTCTTTCATCAGTCACTCCAAGCAATATAGCGTTTTTCCTTGGGTAGGAACTGTTACAAAGGAGACATAACAGAGAAAGGGGGAAAGTTTCTTGTTTCTGCTTTTGAAAGACTGTTGTTGGGTGTTTGAAATGTGCTGGATAAGAGGTGGGGTTTCTGGCACAACCACTTCTAATGTGAACTGAGAGAAAAACAAGCCAAAAGAACTCCTGAAGCACTTGCAGTCAACAAAGAAATGCGGGAAAAGTTGTACTAAAATATTTAGCAACAAACTTATATTTAAACTGAACATTTCCTGATAAATAAGGAGTGTAAAACTGAATGATTTACTAATCACCTATATTCATTATGATAATATGACGTTGTAGTTATGGGGATCTCTTGTCAACGATGGTAAATGTACCATTCTATCTATTCCTATGCGCAAGTAACATTTATATTATTATATATAACACATATTTTTGTTTGTAAATCACCTAGAAAATAACATTAATTTATCAGTTATATGAAGGAAATAATTTTCTCATCTTTATATCTTATTGTATTGCACAGTATGAGATCCGAGATTGATTATTTAGTCAGTATCAGTCAGTAAATTATGCTGAATATGTAGTGTATAAATTCTAGATCGTAAAACACCGTTACAAAATTTGCTCAAACACGTAACAGTAAGTATACTGCTACCACCACCGAAAACGTACCATCATTAAGTCAGTTACAGGGTTTAATTTCACTAATATTTACATTACTTTTTTTTCGTGCACATGTGGACTGAAACACTTCCTCCACTTTTCCCCTCGCGCTCATAATTGCAACACCTGCTGTGATTGGTGGATTTGGACCAATGACAGCAAACATTACGAGTGACGTTGAGGGTCAGTAGGTTTGTGCGCGAAGGTGCAGATGTTGGCGGTTTGAATAGAGTGAAGAAGGGGGTCGAGAACGTCTGTTTTTCAGGCTGAACTGCACTTGACGGTGAGAACAATAACCGCATGCATATTAGGAAAGAGGCTCTCTGAGCGTTGAGAAGAAGCGAAATATGTGTTACAAGTCGTTTAACACCGTATTTGCTGCGTTGAAGTTACTGTGCCTTACCTTAAAAGTCATTTTTTGCAACCAACTGACTTCATTGTTATGGCCGTTGTAGAGTAAATGCTTTTCAGAGCATGAATATTAACCCATACACTTGAAAAATACGATTTCCAAAGTTATACAACCAAATTACTGTAACCAGCTGTACAAGTATATTCAACCAATATATTTACTCCAGTTTTGGCTGACTCCGTATTTGTTTCATTATGTAACGTGCATCCGTGTTTTTGTCTGGAATTACATCAAATTTATTTGGCAAACTCCACTTAGTTACATACTTAATCAGTTTTGCCTCGATTTTTGTTACCATATTTTCTTAAGTAGCTTTTAACACCAGTTCCTCAGCTTCCTGTAGTTTGTTTTGAGGGGGTACAGCAGCTCTTTTTCCCCTCCCCCCGCCATTTTTGTAACTCCTGCACATATGTGTGTAGGCCTGAGCAGGAGGTGCAGAGTCAGAGTCTTGCCCCGCTTTGCTCGCTGTATTCTGCCTTTGTTATATTTCAGCTTTGATGTCAGACAGGTGGAGAACTTGTTTTGCCAGACGTGCTGTCAGATTGGTAACAGATTAATAACTTCATAACTTATAACTTTTTCTGCACGACAATAACTGTTTGATTATGCATTTGTTTAGTTTTTGACATAGATTTTCTCATGAATAATTTAAGGTCAAAATCGGTTTATTTCTGAACGTGGAGAATAGTTATTTTTTGTCCAGATGTTGGCAATCTTTTTAAAGTGATGAGAATACACATCCAAAATATGTTATATTTGGCTTTGATTTCATGTATTTACCAAATTTCTGCTATGGACAATTAAACTTCTTTTCAGCAAGATGGAGGTGTAAGAGGTCTTTTAACCTAATTTAAAGGTTTTGTCTCACCTTAAAACTAAACAGAATGTATTTGACATTCTGTATCCCCACTTCTTAAAGAAATCCTAATTTGTTTGTTTTTTAAAAACTTTTTCCTGCAGGTGAATCAAATACAACTTTTCTGCTAAAATGGAACGCTGCGCTGGTAAGTACAAAAATTATCATGATAGAGATGACTCTCTAGGCTTTGGACATTGTTTATTTTCTTTGTTCATGTTTGAGATTGTAAAAAAAAGCATCTCATGTTGGTATATTGACAAATTAATTCAGAATGCATCCTGTGGCTTTTTGTGTTTTTATTTGTGCCTCTTATTTTTAAAATATTGAAAAATGAATTAATCAATAAACAGATGAATGATTTTACAGTTTATTATGGCAGAAACAAAACAAAACAGATTGCTTTGTCCAAAAAGCTAAGACCGCATAAACTCACTAGAGGGCGCCAAAAACCATCAATAGTGTAGAATCATAAGTGCATAAGCTCAGGCCACAGCTGCCCTGGACAGTCTTCATTACTGGTCACTTAGTTTCAGATCTTTGACTGCTTTGATTTCTGGTTTATTTAATAAGTTACAATGCAATCGTTCTCCTCATAGATCTGCAAATGACCCACCTTTGTACCAGAGAGTGCTAAACTAATTTCCCTTTTTTCACAGACATCCAGGTCAAAGAGCTGAACAAGCGGGCATCAGGTCAGGCGTTTGAGGTCATCCTGAGCCCCTCCACCCCAGATGCTAAGGTGGAATTTCCGTTGTCCCCCAACAAGAAGAGGGAAACATCCCTTGATGAGATTAAGAAGAAACTGGAGGCCGCAGAGGAAAGACGCAGGGTATCTAGAGAGGCAACATTGGTTGTTTTAAAACTATGGGAAAATGGTTTTAAAGTCCTCCTCGCTTAACTTACTGAAAAGTGTATCTTTTTGGTGATTGTTGTCAGAGCCATGAGGCCGAAGTGCTGAAACATTTAGCAGAGAAACGAGAGCATGAGAAGGAAGTCATCCAGAAGGCCATGGAGGAAAGCTGCAACTTTAGCAAACTGGCTCAGGAGAAGCTCAATCAGAAGATGGAGGCCAACAAAGAGAACCGCACCGCTCGGATGGCAGCTCTGAACGAGAAGTTTAAGGAGAAGGTGAGGCCTTAGTCTTAGTCTCATGTTTGATATTGGCGGGGAGGATAACAAAGAAAAACAAATAATAAAAAAAACGTTCCTGTTTTGTTTTTCTCTTTTTGAAAATACTCAACAGGACAAGAAGCTGCAAGAAGTGAGGAAGAACAAGGAGGCAAAGAAAGATACAGAGAACTAATTTGCTGATCCAAAGATAAGCTCTATTTTCCCAGGTCCTTCTCAAATCTTCACTGTTAGAAATCAATATGCTGTTGATTATACTGTTAGATTTAGTGTTGATGTAGCCTGACTTTTTTTATTCTTTTACATTTCCCTTTGGCAGCTGATTACTCTGTATCTTTTTCACTGAGGCATTTGTTTTTGTTAAACTTTTTTTTATACCTATTGACATTGAATTACACAAACTTTAAGTAATGCTTTGACTGTATGAAAAAAGACATCCTCAATCAGCTTTATTTCCACCATTCAGTATGTTGCCCGTGTGGATTGAACACGTTTGTCTTCTCTTGGTTTTGGGGAAAAGGTGTTGTTCCTGTGTCGTTTGAGGTTGGACAGAATCAGAACAGAACATGTTGTGACACCTTCATGTGACAAAATGTAAACTGTTGCACCTCTGTCAATAAATACTTTAATCAACATTGCTGACACCTAGTGGCCGAATTCTTTTTTTTTTTTTTTTTTAATGATTGTGATAGTTGTATCCGTGTGATAAGTCTTGAAGCCAAAGACACAAAACATGACATTCATTTGAAGAATAATTGTGTAAATGCTTTAGTCATATTTCTGAAAGAACTGCATATCTATATTTGTGCAGGTTTGACCACATCAAAGACCAATGTATCATGCATACATGTACATATTTGTTTGTTTCCATCCAAGGGAAAATCACTTTAGTAGATTTCTTTATTTTCATATGACAGGCACTCTGGTTCTGGTGTTGTGTCACAGACACTTGCAGAAGGCACACAACAGCCACCAGCGCCAGTCATCTGCTGTAATGTCTTTGTTTACCCCTCCTTCCAAACCAAGTCTGTACAGGTGATGTCAAGCCTGTCACCTGAGTTTGAAAACACACGCACGTTTTAAAAAACCATGTGTTGGTGTTTAACAATTTCTCTAAAGCTGCCGGACAAGTTTGACTTCTTCAGAATGCTTCATATAGTATTCTATTGGTAGTCCACTTCTCTCATTGCCTTTTAGAGGGGAGAAGGCAGTCATGTCATGCTGTTGTAAAATAGTATTAACACATTCTCATCAGTCCTTGTTTATTTTTAGTTTAAAGTTGTTTCACACTTGATTTATTTGATTTCTAGAAAATGAAAGTTCAAATTGATAATATCTTCAGAAAAGGACAACTTAAACCTCCACTACTGTTTTTCATGTCTGTATTTCATTTCCAAACTATGATGAAATGTTGATATTTTACAGAAAACAGACATAATGAACTCAACACGTGACACCCTTCCACACGTTTGGCCTGCTCAGTAAGTGGGTTGGCAGTTTAACACAATGTCCGCGCCATAAGATTGTTTGCAGAAGTATGTTTGTGTTTGAGCCCGTACTGCCTAACACACCCTCACAGTGCAACACAATCCCTCATTGTCATGTGTTTGGAGGAAGCTGCCGGGCTCATCGGCCCAGAATGGTATCCCATGGTGCTGTGTTCCTTGTCTGTCTGGCCGCACAAGGGGCAAAAAAGCTGGCTTCATTTCAACAAACCCTTTCTCAGCCTTTTCTGGACATTTCTTGCTGGTCCAACATTTACCGTACGCAGCATCGGTTTACAGCTTGTGTTATCCAAAGCGGACACTTGTGGGGTTAAGACGCAGATCCCCCCAGTGTGGGCAAACACCCCGAGGACTAACACACAGATTTATTGTCCCAGTGGGCACAGTCTGAACCCACCTCCGTCAGAGATATACACTGCGTAGGATGGCTTGAATAATAATAAAAAATAACAATAGGGATCTTTCACGGACGCAGAATCTAACAAGTGAAACTTTGTAACAGAATGCTAAACAAGGGGAAGGTTCAGGGTTGAAAAACTGACTCGAGCACACCAGCCACGCAGAAAAAAAAAGCTTATTCTGGCAAAGTGAAACTCTCAACGTGAATTAAAACTAACCTCGGAACTGTAAAACTGTATTAATGCAGTCTAATGCACTAACGCTTCAGATTCAGCTCTGTCACAAACACAGAGGACGATCCTTAATTTAATTTGGGAGCAACTACTTCACCGTGCAGCTATTTCATTATCCCCTGGGTGCCGGCGGCCTGTGGCTTCACACGGGCAGGAGAAAAAAAATGATGCACAATGATGTCAGCTCCCTTTTCTGTGTTGAGTCCTGCACAGGAGAAAAAGGTCTCTGTGTCAGTGCTATAACCACCAGAAAAGCCACAGCGCGTGCAGGTGATGTCTGTGCACATGGGAGCAGAAACCTGACATGTGAAAAGGTCAGGCTTACATAAAGCCTCTGGTTAGGACATTGGAAATTCAAACCCAGGCGTTAGGTGTGTACGTTTGAATGATAGGGTTGAGGAACAGACTGCTCTTTAAGTGAGTCTGACACTTCCGAGCTGAAAAAAACCGCCAACAGGAAAGCCAAAGCGTCTCTAAACTGAGAGATAACCGGCGGTTTCGCCGGACGTTGAGACCTCGTCGGACATAGCGAGGGTTCGTCACTGGAAGAATTTCAGTTGAGAGTGGGCGGGCCTCTCCGCCGGGCGGCAACGGTGATTGGTCAAAACGACCGACGCGTCAGCGCGGAAGCGTAGCGCCCTGAGAGGCCGATTGGCCAGAAAGGCTGCCTCTCAAGCGCCCCGGCATCCTCCCAGAAGCTGCACCGTGAGATCCACCCGGCACTGCTGCTCCCATCACGGCCATCCTCTCCCGCTCCAGCCCATCGAATAATGATATCCACGTCCTGCTCGGCTCCGATTAATTCATCGATTGCTTTATCTAAGGCTTCGGACTGATTCCACCTCCTACAGGTAGGAGCCGTTTTTTAGGGGGGGTGGATTGCAGTCTGAAGTGGTGAGCTTCTCATTGACATTCGTGGCATTTTTCTGGTAATGATAAGATGGCATACCGGGAGAGAGGTTTTCGGAAGCGCCTCGAAGGCACAGCGCCTGTCAGGTCCCCTCGTGTTGGCGTTTCATTGGCAGATCGCCGTGCAAAAGAGGGTTGTCGTGCACCAAGATGCGAAACGACGCGCTTAAAACCTGGCGATCTTATCTGTGGCGTGTGGTCAGGCTGGTCAGGTGCGCGTCAGCTGGAGGCAGCCGCAGCAACAGGCCCGCCGAGGCCCTCCGTCTAACGCGCATCCCTCCCACAGTCCTCCTCCCCGCGCACAGCCCCAGACATCCTCCGGATCTATGAATATTTTAGAGGACTTCATCGTTTGTCGAAAAGCCGAGGGTGTGGACGTCGAAATGGAGTTGTGTTACATAATGTCCCATTCATTACCCCGCGCTTTCCTCCCTTATCCGCTGCACATGTTCATCCTACTCTGCTCTCTGCCCGCCCCACATGTCAGGGAGGTGAGAGCTCTGACTGATCCCAACGTCAAACTAACGACATGTCTGGATTTTTTTCCAAGTCCCGTTTGTTTATATGTAACGGGAACTCTACAGGGTTAAGCCTATGTGGTGCCATATGCAGGGTGGGGACTCATAAAAAGACAAAATGAAGCAGAACTCTCTAAAATAAAAATGTCAGAGCATCTAAACTGTTTTTAAAGTAATTACAAACTGTAGTCTGTTTTTTCTTTTACGCTCCAAAGCATCGGTTGAGATAAAGCTTGCTTAGACAGGTTGCAACAGATGCAGAATCCACCACTAAAGGCCACATAAGCCGCTATTCACATAGAGCACAGCACATGTCACATTCTCTTCGGGGTGAAGTGATCAGGCTGTGTGGAGGCAATCTCCCTTATTTTGAGATGCTAAATTCCTTTGTTAAATAGTGTCTGATGAAGTAGCCCGAGACAGTTCCTCCCCATTCAAGAATAAATGCTTGGTGGATTAGATCTTTAGCCTGAGCCTGTTCAGCTGAATTTGAAAAAAGACAGCTGACATATCATATCTGTCCCTTTAATATCTTTGGTGGCAGCAGTTACTTTATGGCGCCTGACGGCCTGTTGTATGCAAAGCTGTTCAAAATGCTGCTGTGCACTGTGGAACAGCTTCATGGCTTGAGAATGCTCTTTGACATGTCAGTCACACATTCAACCAAGCAAACAGCAACATTTGGATCAGTTACTTTTTCAAACGGAAACACTTAGATTCACATTAATCAACGCTGGTGTTCAGAGCGGATCAATTAGCTGGTGCAGACTGTGAACATGCTCCTATGAACCCGGCCAAACAGCGCAGCTCAGGCCTGTGGGGCCGATCACCAATCTATGGGTAATTGTGTGTCCGTTCCGGACTATAATTGCATTTCCATCAAGCCCTGTTTCAGTTTCTCCAGGCAGCTTTTAAAACCTTTTTTTTTCTCAACCTCTTCTCACCAAATGGCAGGTTCAGTCATTAAAGTGCTGGTGAACATTACTCAGTGCCATGGCTCCCTGAACGTTTCCCCTTTTTGAGAACAAATTAAAAATGGATGAAGTTAATGTTGTTTTAAATTGTTTCACTGCCCCCGGTCTCAAAAGTAAAATCAATTACCGGGGGGCGGGACCAGTCAAAACCCCAATGTTTTGTTTAAGTCTTAGAAAGCAGAAACCCACAAATTCTGCAAACAGAGTGTGTTGGATTTTGGATTCATCGTCTTAAATCAGATCATCGTGCCTTTGGGTGATTTTTCTGCCAATTCTGCTCCGGTACGTCTCTAGTTAAAAGTGTTAAAAGTAGCTCTACACCAAACGTAATATTTATACATGCTGACAGACCCAGAAATGGATGTGGCTCACAGCCAGATATTGACTTGATCTTCATTAATTCTCTCCGCCCTCCTCTGTAGTCTCTAGTTTGCCATGGCAACGGTAGTGATGGAGCAGATCGGCCGGCTGTTCATCAACGCCCAGCAGCTGCGACAGATCCCTCAGCTGCTGGAGTCGGCCTTTCCCACGCTGCCGTGCACCGTCAAGGTGTCCGACGTTCCCAAGGTGTTCCAGGAGCGCCACATCCTCACCGGCTACCGCCAGACGGACCACAGCTGGCGCTACTACTTCCTCACCCTCTTCCAGAGGCACAACGAGACCCTCAACGTGTGGACCCATCTGCTGGCCGCCCTCATCATCCTGGTGAAGTGGCAGGAGATCTCGGAGACGGTGGATTTCCTGCGCGACCCCCACGCCCAGCCCCTCTTCATCGTGCTCCTGGCGGCCTTCACCTACCTCTCCTTCAGCGCTCTGGCTCATCTCCTGTCCGCCAAGTCCGAGCTCTCCTACTACACCTTCTATTTCCTCGACTACATCGGGGTGGCCGTCTACCAGTACGGGAGCGCGCTGGCGCATTACTACTACGCCATAGAGAAGGAGCTGCACACGGCGGTGCAGGGCTTCTTCTTGCCGGCCGCCGCCTTCCTGGCCTGGCTCACCTGCTTCGGCTGCTGCTACGGCAAGTACGCCGGCCCCGAGCTGCCCAAAGTGGCCCACAAGCTCTTCCAGGTGGTCCCCTCAGCCCTGGCCTACTGTTTGGACATCAGCCCCGTGGTCCACCGCATCTACAGCTGCTACCGGGACGGCTGCTCCGACCCCATCGTGGCGTACCACGTCTACCACGTGCTCTTTTTCCTCATCAGCGCCTACTTCTTCTGCTGCCCGCACCCAGAGAGTTTGCTGCCCGGGCGGTGTGACTTCATCGGGCAGGGCCACCAGATCTTCCACGTCTTCGTGGTGGTGTGCACGCTGATGCAGATCGAGGCGCTGCGAACAGACTTCACCGAGCGCCGCTCCTTCTACGAGCGGCTGCACGGAGACCTGGCGCACGACGCCGTGGCGCTCTTCATCTTCACCACCTGCTGCTGCGCCCTCACCGCGTTCTACGTGCGCAAGCGCGTGCGCGCCTCCCTCCACGAGAAGGAGGAGTGAGGAATTTGAATATTTAAAGCGACAGCGACAAAAAAAAAAAAAAAAGGGTTGATTTCTTTTACGCCGTGGTGATGGTTTTAAAAACGACTGAAACGTCTTTTTTGTGACAGTGACTTATCATTATCTCTCCTATGTGATCTGCCAAACTACAGTGAAGTAAAGTGATTGAGGATGTGTTTTTGTGACTTACAGCGAGGAAAAGGGGAATCTTATAACCTGTCTTTAGCAATGTAGGCAGAACTTAAACATTACAGCAGTCCCCTTGTGTCTTTACTCCCCTTATATTTATCTACACGGTCGCTTACAGTCTTGGTATAACGGATTGTCTTTTTGTGCAGGTGAGCTCAGCAGTTCTTATATTTGGGATAATCTCCCTGTCTTAATCGAATTGTAGCATTTCAAGTTATGCAAGCATTTATTTGAATAATTTAATCAGGCAAGACTTTATCTATTAGACTCCGTTCATATTTCTAATCCAACATTTGATTAAACCGTTTCTCCCGATTTCCCTGATTTTGTGTGGATATTAAAGCAGAATCTTTTTGTTTTCATTATCTCTTTGAAGCACTGAGACAGTGCCATTAAACACAAGTTTGAGGAAAGTTTTCTAAATCAATCTGAAGACCAAATATTGTACCTGCACTTATCAAACAAAGAGCTTTTTATTTGGGTGACATTGTGTTGACAAGGAGGCTGGCACTCTGTAGATTTAAAGATGGATGCAGCATTTGTTCTTACGATATTAATCTCTTTTATTCAAAGGGCTGGAACTTCAGCTTTTGCCTTTTCACATCCCATGATGTCAGTGCTTTGCGTGCATGTTTTCATAGAGGACTGATCAGAGACGAGTCACAAAAGCCGAATCAGAGTCTGAGCGTTATGCTTTTAGTGGTTAGTTTTTTTTGTACAATGAATATTTATGTGCCTCTACGCATGTCTTTTGGAATATACTGTGGATATTAAGTGTGTGAATGTCAATGAAAGCTTAGCCTTGCACTTCTTTCTTACCCTGTAAATGATTTGTGTTTATCTAGAATGTTATTTTTCCCCCTCCATCTCACAGCATTCAGAGCTGGATTCTTTTAATGCACAGTGGAAAACGGTACATACCTATTTTGCCATCTGTTGCGAGCGCGTGTGTGAGTGTGTGTTGTGTTCAGTGCCCCCTGCCTGTCAGACTTAACGGGTGTGAATACATAATTTTCTATCGCTGCACTGTCACTCTGAAGATCACGTTCATTTCCTGTCTTAGGTTGATGACTTTTCTTATGAAAATGACACACGAGCACGACTTCATTGATGACATTGCTTAGATTTTTTAAATCACAGAATCTGAAATGTTACAAACGCACAGCGTTCATTACCTCACTCTCTGTTCATGACGGTGTCTAATGTGCCAATGAATCTGGTTTTGCTTCCGTGACGGTCCAACTGAGAGATGAATCCAGAGACAGACTGTCGGACGAGTCCATCTCAATTTGGTTTTAGCCCGGCTACAAAAAAAAGTTAGCCGTGGAATTTGACTGTGGAGCTCTGAAATGTGAACCTTGTAACGTGACATTTGGCATTTCTAACATGGTCTCATTATGCACTGCCTGAATCAACACTGTATATATATGTAGCTGACAGTACTGGCTATGTTTACATGCATGCAACCTGTTTTTTTATCATTTTTTAAATGTCACAATCCAATTGAGAAAAAATAGCTCTTTATTGTGCGGGGATAGACTGGTGGGCAACAAGACTGAGGTCTTCTGGAATAAGATGAATTTAGCTTATGCAGTTGCTTTGCTTGAAAGGCTTCATAGTAGGCAAATGATTTACGGTTGGCAAATGATGTCTGTTAATGTCTCACCAGCCTTTCCTGTAAGATAACTTAAACTTTCTGTCCTAAACATTAAAGGACCAAAGTAGGAATAAGGATTGTAAATTTTGGGTGGTTGTTAAGGGAGAGCTGTGAATCATTTGAAAATGGGAAGAAGCAGCGGATAGATTTCTGACATAAGTTTTTTTTTCTGTTTTTTTTTCAATAGAATTTTTCTTGGAAAATGGTTGTTGTCTCACAGATTATTCTGAGTTGTTCGCTGATTAAATTTGACAGATGTTTAGTGGAATATGGGCGGGTTTGCGTGTTTGTGTGCGTGCATGTAAACATAGCCTCTTACGCCACCTAAGGTTTCCCTTTATCCCTCTCAGAAAAGCAGGGTCAGAGGGATCAGAATGTTTTCTGCCTCTAAAGTATCTGTAACTGACTGTACTAATATTCTGTGGTATTTAAGAAAATAAAGTGTTATTGTAAATTTAAAACATCACATTTTTTGTTTCTTTATACAAATAAATGAAACAGGATTTTGAAACTAAATAGCAAGCAAAGACTTGCTTGCACACTTTGTTCTGCTATGAAATGAACTGATAAAGTATTCACCACATTCACAAGGTCAGCAGTTAAGAAAGTAATGGAAAAAGCAGACACTCAAACATCATGTCACAGACTGCTCAAATTAATTTGAATTGAATGTAAATACCTGTCTTAAATAAAGAAGGGTAAAGAGTATCCATCAAGTTAGATAATGTTTTTTAAAAAGCTTTGAACTTATTGACAAAAGCTTCAAAGAGCTCCATGGTAACCACTGATAATATAATTCACATGTGGACCTTGCCAAGCATTAATAGACAATACAACCAAACCCCACGTCTAAATTTCTCAAAGCCCTCCCAGACTTTCACTTTAATCTAATTAATAGTCTTTTATTCACTTCACCTTTTACTCAAACATACATGAAAAGAGTAAAGTGTCACTTCCAACATGCCATACGTTTGGACTACTTTCAAGTCTACTATTTGACAAGCACACACTAGATTGTGATGAAATGAAGGCAAACATTGCATTAATTAGTTTATGAGATAAATAGCCACTGTTTTTCAGGCAGACTTTCCTCTCCATCTGCTTCCTTGACCTCACTGTTTTCAAAAGATACTCGATTCTCACAATAAACATGTCAACAACTGAACCATTTAATTCTGATCAACAATGTACAGAAAGATGGGCCAGTCTATTTTTCCAATTGAAGGCTGTAAAAATGTAGAACGATTGACATCTGTTGACAGTGAAGTTATTTGATTAGCCAGCTGTTCCTCCACAATGGGTGTTCCTAAGAAATCTATTTAGCTGGGGAGATGTCGCTGTGTTCTGGGCTTTGTGCCACCAAAGAAGATTGTGGTGGGTTAGAAAAAAAAAGAAAATACAATGTGCAGCCAATCTATTTCTCCTGACACATGCTCACAGTTGTCTGCTCTGTTGAGGTGAGAAACATCTGACTTGGTACGTAAGACATTATTTGACATTCTGCCCAATCTTGCATGTATAAAAAATTGGTTTGGCATATGGTGGCTCTTCTTTTGTCACTACTTGGTATGTCTGAATAAAGCCACCAGGACTATTCAGACAAAGTTTTGTGTTGACTGAGAGCTGTCTGTGCTGTAACACACCCTTTAAGCTACCAATGTTTCTATATGTACGTTATATACATGCATACATACTTTGCATACTTAATGGGAACAATGTCTGTTTTTCAGATTGTTGCAGCATCTTAACTTGAATCTCAAAAGTTTAATTTGATTAGCACAAAATAATTACACTTAAAATAATCCTCCCAATCCTTTTTATGCCAACATAAAAGGTCTAGATGTCTTAGTGGTTTACGTCTATGTAGAAACTATTTTTATGAAAGACAGGCTGTGTTTGACCAGAAATCAGATTGCATTGAACCCATAACTTCAGCAGTAATGTTACATCATCAGGAAATGCACCACATGGCTTACATATTATTTCTAGACCCCTTATATACCACCTTATCATGCTAGCAGTTGGTATTTTCACCACTAGAGGGCAGCCTTGTTATTTGGTAGTACATCAGACAGCAAATGCATTTTGTTCAAAAACATTGTGCTTTTAAAAGTGACTGTGTATCTCCTTCCAAATTAAGCACGAGCCTCTTCAAGTATGTGTTTTGCATAGTCTCTTAATAATTAACATAGCTTTCCCCCTAAAGACATCTTCCTGTATTTGTTGTTTTAGATAAAAAAGAGAAGCTTAAAATATCTTATCAGATTAAAAGCAGAAAATTCAGAGAAGAAGGAAGTGAAATATTACCTATATAATATAATTAATTTCTGACCGTTTTCAGGTAGATATGTGCTAAAACTAGAATATAGATTAACAATCACGATACTGTGGAGCATAAGTGCAATAAAACCCTAATATATGTCCCATTGTGATAACACTATTGAAGATTTAGGGCAGATTGTTTATCATAGCTGTAAAGTAGAAAGGTTCATAACCAAGAAGTTTACGTTTGGCAAAAAGCTAAAATGGATTGCTGGGGGAAAAAAATCCATTCTTTCGAGTTCCTCCGGGCTGACGAGCTCAATAACTCTTAAATGATTCATTTTATTGAAAAATAAATGAACATCTAGAAGAACGAATCCCTCCATTAGGGGGCACAAATGCATATGCCTTTCTAAATATAGTGAGCTCACATTATTGATGTATCACTGCATTTCCTAATGAACAAACAGGTCAATTAAGACTGTTTTTCAAAACTAATTTTTCGTAACACTGATGTCCTGCTGTTGTAGCAAATAAAAAATATTCATTACAGGCCATCTTTAGCCTTGATTGCCAAACAACTCAAAGTCTGCTATTCCCCTGCATGAGTTCCACCTTCAGTGGGAATGAGTAAAAAGTCATTATTGTTGCAAGCATTTGCTTAATAGAAAAAGACTAATATCAAATGACCGATTGCAATGTTTCCCATGCAAACATTTAGGAGAGGCATCCTTTGTGCACTGCAGTTTGTGGGCGTTACATATGACTTATATTTGCATATGCGTAGTCTGTGTGTGGTTGTATTGGCTCAGGAATTGTCACCTGTTTGCATAGTCTAAATACCCCCCCCCCCCAATCCCCTCCTACACTTTGAAAGTATGTGTGGGTTTGA